GAAGTGCCGCCTCATGAATGGACCTCTTCCACCCTGTTTCGGGCCACTGGATAAAGGATCCACATCCACATCAATATCAGCTACAGCTCTCCTAGAGACCTTGCTCCTTGTCTTCACCTCAGCTTTAAATGAAATTTTGGTGCACATAGGGCAAGGAGGGTCATATCTGTCTGTTTCTGATGTTATGCTCTCTAAGCAATCAGCGTGATACACATGACCACATATGAGAACCGCACCTACTGGTAGTTCATTTGTAGAGACTATCCTCTGACCACTCCATGGAGATTTCTCCTCCAATAGCTTTGAGCATACTCTGCAAGTGTTGAGATCAGATGAGGTAAATGATGATCTTGATATATTGGTGTTGGCTGAGCTAGATGTATCGCTGTCTAAGGACCACCGTTCTCTGTTTGAAGAGGTCGCAACAAGCTTGGTGAATGTTCTCATTGACCAGCTATCTGAGGAGCCACCATGATATCCTCCAGCAGACGAGCCATCTGAGCGTCGAGTTTTTCTGGAAGGATATGGGTGTGATTGAAGAGAGCAGCTACGAGAAGATGAAGCTTCTGCAACTTCGGATGGTGAGGAAGAGGAAGTAGAGATTGAGGATTTTGTATCTGAAGCACTTGGTTTCACTGAGGACGTAACAGGATCCTTCTCCTATTTGAGGTTAAAAAAAAATCATATGTTACAATGGTAAAATGCCAATATAAAAATATACATCATAAAGATCTCATGAGATCAATCTTATTTCAACGGACCTCAGTAGTAAATTTGCTCCTTGTGAATTTATCTGTTACAAGCATAAAACATTAGAGAGAGCAGAAAGAAAGAAATAATAGCGTGAAAGGAGAACAATTTTGTTAAAAGCTTAACAATACTACATGCAAGAGCAGCATATAACTTATACAGCTTGATCTGAAAGTAATAATCAGTAATAGAATATATGAACGATGAATAGGCACTAAAAATAAAAGGTTTTTCTTTTTTATTTTCCTGTTGTTGTTGTTGCGTGGTACTAGTTCATGAATGATATTGCTATCCAATCTAAACAAGGTATGGTAGCATTATACAATCTAAATAACCAGTGGATTTGTGCTGAAACTTTATGGCGATGGGGGGAAAAGGCACATCTCAAGCAAAGAGGAAAAGACGACACAAATAAAAACAGTAATGATATTTATCAATATAATAAGAATAAAACATGAAGATTTAGATGAAATGAAAAAGATGATGGAGAAAAGGCCAAAAATTGACTGAGTGTTGACAAATCACTCAAGAAGTCATCCATTTCTGCTGAAGAATCAAGAAAGAGGATGAACCACAGTCATAAGAGTTACGACAGGACATGCAAGAAAGGTCCACAGGTGAAAAAGCAAAATAGAATTCCATATATGACAAAATCAAACGAAAGTTTGATATCAAAACTAAGAAATTTGTTCTAAATGCTGCTGATATAGTTAACGGTGCACTTCAATAAACTTTGCATGGAAATATCGTATAACCTAATTGTATTCCAGCATAAAGCCAAGGACTTCCGAGAGAAATTTGAGGTAACTCTGATAGAGGGCATTGCATGATAAAAGGCATCGTCTTCCATTTTCAAGCACTTCCTTTAGGATATATACCAAAGATATTGAAGTACAAGCTACACTACCTAAATACATGTGGAAATTTCTACGGTGGATTCATATCATAGACCTGAAGACTAGAAATAGACCCCCAGCCATAATTTCTGGTTACAACTTATGTCAGTGATGTCACATTATTATACTAAAATAAGAATAGTTCACTGAACGATATAGCACAAAAGAAAGGAACAGGAAAAAAAATTTACCGGGATTGACTGATCTAGAGCTTCCGGAAATTCCTACTTCCTTCTGCCCCTTGAGGGGCTGAATATTAAGTGACGGGCTCCCTCCATCTGAAAGACCTTCAGTTTCTGTGGTGCCTGAACTCTTACTTTCAGAGCCAACATGACCACTTCTATGTTGAGAAAACCGAGAAGGGTTCTCCATGATATCCTCTATATGAGTCCGATTGTCCCATCGAAAGCTCCACGATGGTGAATGTCTAGCATTCCTATAACTAGAAAGTTCACGACTACCCCTATCTGGCAAGGGTTTTTCTCTCGCAGCCACACAACAATTAGCCCCCATCTTTTGTTTATATAAAGGGAAGTGAAAAAAAAAATGAACAGCCTATCTTAGTAAAATGAGTATTTACAAAACAGAATCCTAAATTCTCCAATTTTCATCTTGGAAAGATTCTAAACTGAAACCACAGACCCGCTTTCTCCAACTTATTCCTGTAAAAACACAAATTTACTTATAAGCTTCTACAGATGGACAACTATACCATAAAATCCATCATACGATGAGCGAATACTAGAAAAACATTGATAGAACACAAGGCAACAGAGAAACCCCATATTTAGAGACAGACTCAGACTGCAAAAGTCTGAAAACTTTGAAGGCAAAGAATTTTAACCTTCTTTTCATTTTCCATGGGGGGAACAACTCAAGAAAACTTTCTTGTAGAAAAGACCATATAGAAACCTATTAATCACCCACAAACATGATCAATGATGTATGACAAGAGGCCTACAAAATATAACCTTTTTTTAAAGATGTGAAATGACATCAATTACACCAAAACTACAACTAAACAAGAGAACAAGCATGAAAGGTAGAGAAGAGGTTGTTCTACCTAATATGGAACCATAAAATTACCTCACAATAGCAATGCTGCCTATTATGGGTAGGCCAAACTAATAGAAAATACACTCAAAATACACAATTATAGCACATAACATAAGTCTTTTTCATGCTACCAATGAAAGTAGTTCAAAATTTTGCAAATAAATAAATAAATAAATAAATCAAAATGTTAGACATTTCTCATAAGAATAATGATAAAAATCTCAGCTGCCAGATATAACAAGTAAACAATTATAATAAAATGGTGAGCAGTTACTTTTTATCAAAAGGTCTCAAAAAATATGATCTAAATCAGGGGAAAAGATCTTCTTAAATGTCCTGCAAAAATCAGAGCGCGTCATTTAGCAACATTAAAATACTGGTATATCGCCAAAAAACAAAATTTCTCGGTTGAATTCCTTGAATAAACAAAATTTAAAGCTAAAGGTCATAAATTGCAAAATATCCACAACCCCCTTAATCACTCACCCAATAATCCTCCGGTGGCTAGATTTCATCCAACCGCCGAGAGAACATAGCACGGTTAATTGAAAGAGAAAGGTGGTTCTTTTTCTTTTTGAGCTCCTAGGGTTTCGATTTTGTGATTTTTAAGGGTTTTCCTCGAGGGAGAGGGAGGGTTTAGGGATTTTTAATCGCATCCCTTTTTTCTTTTTCTTTTTTTTTTCTCTCTCTCTCTCTCTGACGAGTGGCGAGTACATCTCAGTACGGTTTTTTCCATATTAGTCCCATTGAAATTTGCTTATTAGGGGTGTGAATGTAAAGATTGCAAGTATAAGAAAAAAAGATTTAATTCTAATGGTGATTACATCTCTCTCATAGATATACTCTTTCCTTGATAAGCTCAAACAAAATAAATTGAAACTATTTTAAATAAAACATTTATGGTGGTCCAAATGACCAATTCACAAATACAATGGCGTCTTAGTGTGAACCTTTGAGCTTGTAAATCATTGTCAGTAGACTAATTTAGATTTCACATGAGCAAGTTACGGCCACTGAATTATCGTTAGAGAACTATAAATTTTATTTTCTCTATTTAACTAATTTTATTTGGTATAAAGAACGTGTGCGAATTACTCACTTCTCATATATATCAAATGATGCAATATGTTTCTTGTCAGGGTAATGCAAAATATTGTAGACCAACTATAAGTATAAATCGAGAAATAGAAACTATCAAAACTAATATAACTATAATATTTATTGCCTAAATTTTATAAGGTGGAAAGATTGAGCTCGGGGGGGAGACTCTTCCTCTTTATAGTCTTCTATTGATTTACATTACCATTTTATTTCGAAGCCAAAAAAAAGGACTTAACGTGTAAAATAAAAAGTTTTTATTGTTACTTGTTATAACGGTGCGCGGGAGCAACCAAACAGATTTTCACACGTAGAAAATAATAGTCCCAATTAAAAAAACAACCAGCATATATCCACCCAAAAATGTCCCCACCAGAATGGGTCCCGCTTATCTGAAGGCATAAACTTTTGAATGATATGGGTGCAAGTATCGTCGCTTTGGTGCTTCTGGCAAGCAAAGGCAAGAATATATCTAAGTATTCGCGGTGAGCTCACCTCTCTACCAGCCAAGCTTTATAATTTTCTTTGCACCTAAACCCTCTATTTATTAACACAAATCAAAAGTAGGCGTAGAAATGAATCGCGACGAATAATAAGATGTTTGCATTTGAATTTCTTTAAAACTTTTGAATTTAAATTATAATTCAAGTATCCATTTTTGAAGTTTTTTAGACTTGAATAGTTGATCATTAACAAATATTCATGAATATTCAAAAGTATTTATCGCGTATTAAGGTATATATAATTTACTAAAGAATTTGATTTTCAAATAGTATTTTTTAAATTCATAATTGATAAGTAGGCATTTACAGCTATGACGTGCATAATGTAATTCAAACATTCATTGGAAAATTGAAATTATAGGACTCCTGGGTCTATTTGCTTAATTAGTGCCACCAGCGATTCTTGAATCCGAAGAGGATTAATTGGGGGGTTTTGTCTCTCTCACTCATATAAACCAAATGATGAACAACTCCATTCCTCAGTTTTTTAAATTAAAAAATAACTATTTAATTAGTCATGTTGTTCATGCACTCATATTTCCGAATATATCGTGCGGTTGAGTATGTGCGCATTATTCATCACTATTTTATTAATGTGACGTGAATATGTAGTTCAATTTGAAAACTACTTATACACTTTTTTATTAATCATTTTTTTTTCCTTGCACGTATCATTGCAGCCGATGGAATATAAACATATGAGGTCAACAGGAAAGGAAAGATCAATAATTGACAAAACCAATAATATTTTATTGAATATACTCCTTGTATAATGAAGTTACATAAAATAAATTCTTCTCATGAATAGAAAAGAGAGCGACCTTTACATTTTTTTTCTAGCATTTGGTTAGAAATGCAACTTTATGTATAAGAAGAAATTTGCAAAATAGACATCTTTTTTGCCAATAGGTTAAAAAGAGGTTGATTTTGCAAAACAGACCATTCGAAACATACGTGACTAGTAGTCCCGTATGATTTAATGGGGGATTAAAACATACATGACTACTAGTCCCGTATGTTTTGAATAGTCTGTTTAGCAAAATCGACCTCTTTTTAGCCAACAGGCCAAAAAGATGTCTATTTTGCTAAATATTTAGCAAAACGGTCTGTTTTGATAAATATTTAGCAAAATAGGTCTATTTTGCAAATTTTTCCTATGTATAAATGCATGTATTCTAGGCAAGAGGACGAATCTGCATAGTCCAGTAGCTAGGTATATATAATTTTGATGGTTTTCCTCCTTTAATGAAAAATTGGCAGTTTACAAAAAATCATCACATAGCAGTTAAAGAGAAGCCCAAAGACACGTGTAAATTAGTTAAAATTTAGAAATAATTACTCTACTTTTCAATTAGTTAATTTGCAATTGTAATTGTTTCTAATTATATTTTAGGAAAGGATAATATATCGACCTATCAATATTTCATCAATGTTGAATTTGAAATTCTAATTAATTCTAATTAACATCAAGATTTATTAAAGTATTTGCTCAGAGGTGATATATTTTTAACGCAACTATATTTTAGACCTTTTAATTTTCTTGAGATTTCTAAAAATTAAAAATTATATCACCTCCAAATTCTAAAAAATTAAGACACATATCAAATGAGACGGGGCATAATTCCACCAAATCAATTTAAATCCAATCCATATATGAATTTCTAAAGGTTTAATTTCACATAATCAATCACCTTGGAGAGTAAAATTAACTTTCAACTCATCTATATTATTGATAAAAAAAAGTAAAGAAAAGTAACATTTAACTCACAATTGTTAGCCCCTATGTTTTGATGATGTTTTACAACCACCATTATCGATACTAATGGCTTATTAAGTACATATGTAGTGAATTCATATATCAAGCTTGTTAGTACCACAAATGGAGGATTGGATGGAATATACGCTACAACGATGATATCCAAAGGAGGAGGAGGCATAGTGATGAAGCAACGTTATTTCAAGAACAACAAATTCAAATAGAAGCTTCATCCAATTCAAGCTATATCAAGACTCAAGCATTGCATTCTATATGAGTATATTAGCTATCTTTTATTTTTCTCTCTAGTGCTAGAATGTAGGCAAAGAGTTATTGACTTCATTTGAAGCTATTGGGATATCACACACACGTTTTCATACTTATGTTTTTAAGCGTTTTTCACAAAATACTATTTTTGACAAGTATGAGGACCGATCTGCAAAATTCTTTTTCCAAACAGTTTGTTTTTAGTATTAAAAACATTTTACAAAGTTTCATAATTTTCAGAGGTCAAATAAATATTTTCCAAATATTTTAGTTGAGTCAAAAACTGTTTATCTGAAATGTATCAGAATGCGGTCGACCGCACCGGTCGACCAGGCAGCAGAGAGTTTGTCGGTCGACCGATGCGGTCGACCGAGAGCTCGATTTTTCTGTCGGTCGACCGCACCGGTCGACCGATGAAGTCTCTGTTTGTTTTTCTCGTTTTCGATCTGGATAGCGGTCAATCGAAAATTTCGCCGGTCGACCGCCGTATTATTCAAACGGTAATTTTGGTCCTTTTCTAGCGCCGCTCAGTACAGATCTCAGCGACGCTTTGCTTCCAGATTTTGGGGGATTAAGGGATGGGTTTAAACAGCTGTTTTTCTCCTATTTAAACTTCACCTCTTCTTCTTCCTCAGTGTCCCAGTTTTTGCAAAAATCAGAGACGTTTGTTTTCACTGAGCAAAATTTTCAACCTGTTCTTTCCGTGTTTTTTGTGTGTTCACTTCCCAGCTTCATTGTGCTCTTCCTCTTTGCCATAGGGACGTTGTAAAGAGAGAGTCTTACACCATTTCTACTATCTTGTGAGACGTTGTAAAGAGAGAGTCTTACACCATTTCTACTATCTTGTGAGTGTGATCTTGTGTAGATCAACTGTGAGGGAATGTGATCTAGTGAGATCAACTGTGTATTAGTGAGATCAACTGTGTAGTGTGAGATCGTGTGGGGATCGCTGTGTAGACGAAGTTCCGGCTTCCAAATAGGGTTGTGTAGTGGATTTCTCCTCGAGAGTGGGGAGCGGGGAAGTAGGTCAGCGGACCGAACCTCGTTAATATATCGCGCGTCACAGGATAACGATTTCTAACCCTATCTCCTCTATTTTGATTGCATTAGAATACTGTGGTTTGCTTGTCTTAATTTTATTGCACAATTATAGCCTCTTGACCCTAATCACCCCCCTCTAGGGTCCGACAACAATAATATTTAATTCTGAGATATTTAGATGCTTCAAACAAAAGTTTTTAAAATATGTTTGAGGATAGAGATTAAACAAAAAGTGAGGTAAAATTTCTTCCAATAATGTCATATCAACATGCTTGTTCTCACTCAGCTAACAAATTCTTCTTAATCATGGTAAATGCAATTATCAAATAGGCCACGATATTGATGATGCTTCATGCATCTCAAGTTGGAATTTTGTCTTTAATTCTTTGTGTAACTTCATGAGAATTAGATAGGGTTAGAGTTCTATCATGATTAGGAGTTTGGGTTCTATCATGATTAGGAGTTTGAGTTCTATCATGATTAGGAGTTTGGGTTTTATCATGGTTAGGAATTTGAATCCTATTCTAATTAGGAAGTTAGG